AAAGGTGCTCCTGAAGGAGTAGTGAAATTGCTTCTGTGCAACTTTTCTGCTTGAATTTTGTCACCATCCCTCTCGACTTTAATCATTCCTGGGTTGTATAAATGACATTGCCTTGCAGTCGTCCTTAGACTGCTGTGAAGATGCCCTCTTGTGGCTGTAGGACTGGGTTGCCATGACTTCTGGTGAAAACATTTTCCACCACAGCTCAGCCTGGATGGTTTTAAGTGGTTACCGTCTCTATCTTTGCTGAGGTTTATCTCACTTCCTAGCAGCACTGCCTCATTGGCAGAGAAGAAAGGAAGTTCTGCAAGGCTTCTCTTTGTACTAACAGACCTTTTAGATAAAACTTTGATTTAAAAAGATCTGGCATTAATCAAACTGGGTTTTTGTTTAGGACTGACTTACGAAAGTGACCTTTTCTTTCCTCTGTTAAAACCAAAAGATACTTTTGTATTAAAACAGCATGCTCCAGAAATACAAATTAAAGATTTGATTTATATAGGAGTTCTGGACACACTTTTGCTATAAGCAGGCTTTGGGCTTAATCCAGTCCAGTTTACTTACACAATGGATGTTTTTGTTTGTAACATCAGTTACTTTCCTGGAAGCAGCTGAGTTACAAGTAGGGTTTGGTTTTTTTTCTCCTTCTATTTTAAAAGATAATAATAAGCAGGTAAGATAGACAACACATTTGGATATAATTCTTACCAGTAGCTAAATCAGTTTCCTGCTCCTTTAGTATAATTATTTCAAGCATCTGTTTTTCATTTTATAAACTGCAGTGTCATTTTTGTCTAGATCCCTGTACACTGTTGTGGTTCGAGTCGTGACTAAGAAACCAGTGTGGTTTTTCTGGAAGAAAAGGAAGGAAGTATATTAATTTTTTTTTTTTTTTAAAAACAAATACCAAAACTTCACACCAAAAGAAACGTTCCTGGTCTGTAAGTTTTTAGAGAAGAAGGATGTTAAATGTTTGGGTTTTCATCTGGAACAAAAATAGTACTGCTCACCAAGTGAAGCCTGAGAACCTGGCATTCCTGTCTGTAATAGTAACCTCTGGCATATCACATCATCTTGCTATCTTGGCTTTTCAGTCTGCTCAAGGGTCACTGGTCCGTCTGCTTTCTTTGGGACAGAATTAAAGATTTCCAAGCCCTTTGAAATGCCGAGGGAAAGGTATACTCTGCTTTCTGGCTTGCCTCTCCCTTTTTCCGTCCCAGAATCGTGCCAGAGGGTGCCAGGTAGAGTGACTCTTCCTCAGTTTGTCATCTCTTTCTCAGCCACTGTGGTGCTGTGCTCTCCAGGTGGCCAGGGGAAGATACATGGGTGACAGGACTGTTCTATCTGTGCAGCAGCTCTACAAAGCATTGACTTAATCTGTGGTGCTCTGCCCTTTAGGAGAGAACTACTAAAATAATAGTACCTCACCCCAGTGACAAGGGTTGGCTTTTGCTGGTTAGAGTTGAAGAGTCTATGAGAATTGCTCTCAAAGTACTCTTCATACAGTCCTGTGCCAACATGGCTCACATGCCTGCTGGGTCTGTAGGTCTGTGGGAGCAGACTGACAGCACCTTCACACTGAAGACAGTTTTCCCTATTCTTTAGGGCAAGTTTTGGTTGTTGCCTTCTAAGCTGAGTAAGGAAGAATCTGGATTTTTCTGTGTGCCTCCGGCTTCACATAAACTTTGAGGAATTTTTCCTGGGTGAAAGAACAAAAGCTTTTATCTTTTTCATTTATTTATTTCAGTTTGTGACATTCAGAGCTCCATTTGGCTTTCAGTAGTTAGAGCCAAGTCTGCAATTGGTCTCACTGTGCTTTAGTGCTGCCCCATCATACAACTTTAACTAAGTTGTTGTCTATTCTAAGAGATTTTTGAGCTTGAATAGGTGATGAGTACATTTGAATTTAAAACTCGTGGAGATACAATTCTTGCTGTGCATTTGCAGCAACCTTGACATGCTGCTTTGAGAGAGGTGATGCTACGGGGGATTATTTGGAAGAATGCATTTTGCCAAAATAATGCATGTTTAATAAACTTAGTCTTTGAAGCTCAGTCCTTGGACTAGTCTAGCTCCTCCTCACCATTTGCTTTCAGGAAAACTTACTTTTCTCTTGTGGTGTCTAATTTTCTCTCTTTCTGATCTCTCCCGCCCCCAGTTAAAAATGATGGTAGTGCTGTAGGAATGTTGCTGCGTTGCAGATTTCATGGAATCACAGACTGGCTTGTTTTGGAAGGGACCTTAAAGCTCATCCAGTTCCAACCCCCTGCTATGGTCAGGGACACCTTGCGCTAGAGCAGGTTGCTCCAAGCCCCGTCCAACCTGGCCTTGAACATGGATTTGCACATGGATTCTGCCAAATACATGGATTATTATTAACATGTAGTGCAGCAGCCTTTCTAATGCAAGTCACACCATGCCATCTCTTAATTCCAGTGTCAAGCCCACACCTCATTGTGTAGTTCTCCCATGGCCTTCAGAAAGCAGCTCATTGTGGAGCGGAGGGACTGAGGTTGGAAGGCTTTCAATGGCAACCAGAACAGCTGGGCTCTTGGTCTGGGATTTGGCCTGTGATTTAGGAGGGGTGGATTCATCCTGGGTGTTCCCAGAATCTCTTTTGTGCCCTTCAGCATATGTATAATCCTTGGAATCCTCTTATAACCAGTGAGATATTCCCAGTGATGCCCATGAGGAGCCTTATTCCTCTTGGAGGAAGATTCACTGAAATCAGTGTGCAGATTACTCAGCTGTCTTCTTAGGAAGAGCAGCAGATGGGCAGTGACACGTATGAAGATGAACCAAAATTAAATAGCATCAGGTTATTTTTATCGCACAGCACAGCTAATAACATCTGTCACTTTTCCTAAATAAGTATGAACAAACTAGCAAATCAAAGCGTAAAACCATGATGCATGTTGGCAATTCATGCTGCTGCTGATTCCAAGGTCTGGTTGCTGTAAGATCCCAAGCTCTTGTCTGTTTTACCTGCTGTGTCCCCAACAGGGATGATGTGAAGAACTCTCAGCACATGAAGACTTTTTATGGCAGTTTCTATACAATAATTGTGCTGGAGCTCAGCTCTTCTGGTACGCTATTTATTTTGATCTCCTTGCCAGCTGCTGGCTTTGTTGTGAGCCTGGGGAGCAGAGTGCTCCTTTAGCCAAGCAGGCTGGGCTTTTAATTAGCACTTATTAGAAGCATGTGTTTCTGTCTGCTGCTGCTGCTGCTGCTGCACCACTGAAGGTGAATTGAGGCTTTAATAAGGATGGACCCTCCATGCGTGCTGCGGTGAAGTGGAGTAATTGAGTTGAAGTATTCCCTTTCCCCATTCTGGAAAAGTCTTTTCAACTGGTTGATAGCTTAAGGCAAAGCTAATGGAAGGAAGTAGGAAGACAGAAAGCATATTTATTATTATCTTTGAAAGGGTGGTGATGGACATGGAAGAAGGCTGCAGCATGCTTTCTGAAGCCAGCAAAAAGGAAAGGAAAAATACCCTGACAAAACCTTACTCTTAAACTGGAGTTCTTAAGCTTCTGTGTGGCTTTCCAACTCTGACATTTTCATTAATGTCTAAATTTCACTAAATGTCTAAAGCCATGTGTTCTGCACAGAAAATACATAGCCAATGCTTGCAAATAGTAATGTTGCTTTCTGTTGCTTATTAATACAGGAAGAGAGGGTGTTAGTGCAAATTAACACTGTTCTTGATTGAAAGGCCCAACCTTAGAATGAGTTTTGTTGTTTGTTTTTTCCAGGTATCCTTGATAAATGGAATTAAAATAAACTGATATGGAAATGCTTTCTTCTGATAGAGTGTTTTTTATCAAAGGAGGGTTTGGAAGAAGCACTTGAACCAGTCGATGTTGGATTTGAATGTGTTACTCAGATTCAGTTCAGGCCTTCCTTACTGGTGAGGTGACCCCAAACTCATTTGTACAGCAGGAAGGCTGTAAAAATAGAACGGTCCACTCATAAGGCCTTGCAAGGGAGAGGTTTTAGCTCTCATTTTCTGCTTTCCTGCTGGAACCCAGGCACCACTTGTGTTGTGTGGCTTCTTTCCAACTCCAAAATTTGGCACATGGTGTTCAGCTGGACAGACACTCTAACACAGCACTGTGTGGCTTTGAAAGGGATGCTGATGCTGTGGAAAGAGGAGGAACAAGAAAGGGCAGTTAATAGGCGAAGGGCTTCAGTCTCTTCTTTGTCCTCTTCCTTTGTTCCCTCTCTGTGGCACCTGTGTGTACAAATACAAACACAGCAGACATAACCATGTAGTCCTGTGTTGTTTGGATGACTACGGAGGATCTTGGGGTTAAAAGGCGTGAAAAGGTGGGGTTTGGGGGTTTGTTCTCTTCTATAAGCAGGGTTTATTAGGGTGTGCAGGGCAGCACACCATCGTGATGCAGGCTGATCTCTAATGTTGTATATGATGTTGGGGAGAAAACAGGTATTAAATGATTCTCCCCGTCAGACCCTGGCCCTGTTCTGTTAGCTGTATCATTCCCAGTGCAAGAGGTGGGAGTTTCCTGTCCACTATTTAAACTGTCCCAGTAACTGGAAAGGCAGATTTTTGAAGATTTGGTGTGGGTTCAACAGAGTAAGGTTTTAGGGTTATTCTGTTCAAGAGGAACTTTAGTTCAGATGGGTTTTAGCTTGGATACTGAGGTTTCACTGTTTCCTAGGTATTGATCTGTTGTGTTTTCCCTTTTTCCGAAGGCATTAGTTTTAAGAGGGCAGAAGACCTCCTCTAAACATGGGTTGGGTTGAGTTGTCATTTGATTCTTTTTAAATGTTCATGATTTTTCTTTTATTTAAATTGTTGTATATTAATAAATACAATCAGAAAGTGACAGCAGCAGAACAGGAACTGTGCTGAAATTACTGTGTCGGTGGCTTGAGACTGGTGGTAATTGCTTACATGAAAACATCCTTCTGTCTTTTCCAAGATTCATATTCCCACGTGTAGCCCAACAACTCAAACCCACTTTCTTCTTTGCTAGGTGATCTTTGGAGCTACGACTTCTACAGTGGTGAGTTTGTTGTGTCTCCTGAGCCTGACACTAGTGTGCACACCATTGATCCCCAGAAGCACAAATACATCATCCTTGGCAGCGACGGGCTGTGGAACATGATCCCACCTCAAGACGCTATCTCCATGTGCCAGGATCACGAGGAGAAAAAATACTTGGTGAGAGCAGCAGCTATAAGTTGTTGTGGAAATTTAATACTTATTTCCTCTAAAAGCTGCTTGGTCTTCTACGTATGGAAAGTACCTAACGTAGCTTTGCCACACCATATTCGTTGGCTGGTACTGTAGTGGCATATACTGTCAGATAGCATGGATGTCAGTGTTGTTTAAATTACTTGGTTGTCATTTTAGGGGTTGTATCTGTGAGTAATAAAGCTGATAACATGTCCCTTCTCAAAGGAAGTTAAATAAATGTCTGAAAATGAAATTTATGTCACATTAAGATGCCTGTTACAATTCAGAGTTGTTTATTGGCTTTTACGTGACTTGTACAAAGTCGGAGTTAAGTTTGGTTTATTTTGCAAACCAGTCAAGAATTTATATAGTGGAGCATCTGAGCATCAGACTGTGAATACTCTGTAAACCTCTTGAGAGACTTCAGGAAAGACTGTAGGATGTGTTACAACCAGGCTATTTATGCAAGTCATTGCGTCAGTTCTGTGGTGTAAAGCACTCGTGTATACGTGGCTTCTACAGTAAACTGGTTCTAAAGTGATATTTTGTTGAAAGATACATTTCAGTATTTCCTCTTTGTTTCTGAATCAAGCTACTTCAGCATGTGATATGTAGGAATATATAACTGAGGCTGTGGCATGTAAACTGTCCGTCTTCCATTTATAATGTCAAGTGGATCTGATTGCTTTCTCTGTCCCTTTCTGTGAACACGAAGGGAGAGCACCGACAGTCCTGTGCCAAAATGCTGGTGAACAGAGCGCTGGGCCGGTGGAGGCAGCGCATGCTGCGAGCAGATAACACCAGCGCCATCGTCATCTGCATTTCGCCCCTGCAGGGGAGCAAAAGCAACTTGGAAAATGAAGAAGAATTGTATTTTAACTTGGCAGAGAGTCCCTGCTACAGCAGCCCTGATGTGAACAGCATGACGCCCTCCCGCTGCTACACCCCACCCGTCAAGGTAACGGCTTTATTTAGATGTTTTCAATGTTCCACTTTTGAGCATGGAGCTCACTAAATAGAGAGCAGTCTCCTCTTTCTCCCCTTAGGAGTAATTTCTTCCTACACAGCTTACTTTGATGTGTAGGATTGGGGCAATGGTGTAGGCAGACCACTGCCAGTGATTGAAGTAGTACTGCTGGGAGATACTGGCCTGTCAAACCACTGTTTGATGTCACTTTTAGTTTGTGGCTGTATTTTTGTTTGGTGGGATTTTCTTTGTTTTCTTTTGTTAGGTTTTTTTTTTTTGTGTGTGTGTTTGTCATCCCGTCCCCCCCCAAAGGTTGTTGGTTTTTTTTTTCCCTTTTTATCTTTTTCTTAAAGTTGTATTCTTATTTAACTGCAAAGGCCTGGGCAGTACCTATGTCCGGATAACATATTTCATTCGCAGGGCAGTCACGTAGCTGTAGCCTCAGTACGTCCCTGTACAAAGCCCTGGAGAAAGGAATGGACTTTTAATAATGTTTCTTGAAAGACTTTGGGACACCAAAGGCAGAGTATTATAGTCTTAACTTCTCAGAATTGCAAGGTTTAGGGATACAATGTTTTTATAACTGGACATCTATTAGTAGCTGTTGTTCTGTATTTCCTCCTTAATGTAGAAGAAATTCTTACTGTAAATTCGTGCATGTAGTTCACACAACTTTAAATGCACTATTTCTTTAAAGTAAGTTTTCCAGGATCCCCCCAAAATCAAGTAGGCTGTTGAAAGAGAGGAATGGGACTATAGGGCTCAGAGATTTAAGAGAGAAATACACCAAACCCTTAGAGAATAAGGTCAGGCTGCAGTTTCTTTTCCTGCCTTGCCATGCACAGCTGATGAATTGCAGGCTGCTTGTAGACAGGTTCTTAAATCTCAGCGTAGTTTGTTCGGTTTTGTTGTCGTGTGTTCTTGTGGCGTTTGTTTTTTGAAGGTAACCCATGGGTTAATGTAGTCAAGAACACTTGTAAAGAATGCTTTCTTTTTGGATTGAGAGATCATGTTATCTTCTTCTAGTTGATCCAATGGTCTTTGTTAGAGGAGAAGTTGTTTTAATACAAGGTCTTTCTTCAGGTTAGAAGTTTTAACCATTAACATAAGGCAGAGCTGTTCAGAAGATGCTGGTTTTGGTGTTTTCCTCCCAATTCTAAGAACTGGAGTGTAGTTGGGAGTGGATGTTTGTTCAGTAATTACCAGCTGCTCCTCATTTAAGTAACTGTCCTTTGATGTTGTGCAGTATCTTTGGCTAACTGTCCTTTGGGCAAAGTAAAAAGCAAGCAAAAATTGGAAAGGGAATTCTTAACAGTCCCTTGCTAGAAACAAGCTGCTAATAAAATGGCAAGCTGAAACTGTCCCCTTCCATTCAGTGCAGCAAAATAGGTGGAATTTCAATTCTAAATACTTCTGTACTTTTCAGTTGTGCCATAAGCTTTGTGTGTGACCTATTATCAGTATTGAATAAACATTGAGCTACATTGGCTTCAACAAACCAAGGAAGCAGAATTTCTGCATTAGGACTTGGTGAAAACATTGGGCTTTTCCTTAGGATTTCCCCTTCCATTCAAAGTAGATTCAGTGAATTGTGGTGTGTGACTCTTGATAAATTGCAGCAGGCAGTCACAAAGAGTTAAAGAGATCAAAACTTACAGGGTTGGTGTTTGGAGTTAGGGTCTTATTTTATTTTTATTGCTTAATGTGCAGAGCCCAAAAGAAATTTATGACTGGCTACAGGTCTTTGTTGATACATATATATATATATATATATATATGCACACACACACACATATAAATCTATTTTAAAGCAAAAGTTTTTCTCCTCTTGGATTAAAATAGAACTGGTGTCGCCAATTTAAAAACAGAGATCCTATTTTCTCATTACTTTTTAATTACAAATACTGATGTCATAAAGGTTTGTGCTTTAACAACAAGCACCCAGCTGTCCTCACAGAGTACCTGTGACTGCCAGAGGAAGGGTGAGAAGGAAGCTGGAAATAAAAGAGGCAGAAAAAGACCACTGCACTGTCAGAACAGTTTTGAAATACTTGAGATAAAAGCCCCATGCCTCCAGGCAGATGCTGATGAATGAAATGTCTTACAGTGGTGTCTCGTTTTTTGCAGAACAAGAACTTTGTGTAGTTACTTCTAAGTATATTTGGTAACTACACCGTCCTGAGCAACAGAATATTTTTCATAGTACAGAGATATTCGTCAGTTAGAGAAGAGCCGTAAGGGAAGGAAAAACCTATTTCCACAAATTCTGGTTATGTGATGGCTGTAGGCTTTTCCTTTACACAGCAGTTGGACTTTGTGTGAGCCTTCTGGGTGACAGTGGTGCAGGAGTGCTGTTGGTTTAGAGTTTTCTTTAAAAGTAACAGTGACATGACACAGCATTTAAAGCATTTGGGACCCTCCCTTAAAATGGTTGAATATGTGGTTTCTTATACATAAACCATTAGCTTTCTTGCAAGGTGGCAGTTTCCTTATGGAGTACAGCCACACAGCTCTTTCAGGATATGCATTTTGGAATTCTGATGGTGGTAACTGGAGGGATTCAGGAAATGCCCTTATTTCATGATCCTGTTTGATCCTAGTATCAGCCTTCCAGGAGGGAAAAAAACGCGTTTTGCTGATTGCACAAAAGTAAGTAGGGCAATGCATAAAACCCTTGATACATAAAGCTGCAGGTAAAGATATGATCTAATTTAGGTTCGTAATTAATTCATCTTCTCACAAAATTACCACTGAGTTTTACTAAGCAAGGATCATGGTAGTTTCTGTAAGTACCTGAGAGGTGGTTCCCCAGATCAGCCTCAGCTCCTGGAGACTGTATAGGATCATAGCCCAGAGGGGACAGGTCAGCCAAACCAAGAAGTGGCAACAGAAGGTTCCCTTGGAAGAGCTGAGGGAGGCACGGATGGGCTTGCTGTGTAACAGCTGCTGTATTCCCAAACAGGAGATTAGGAAATAGATGGAGACCAAGTCAAAGTTCCTCAATTAAACTGAAGTATTTCTTGTTTGTATATCCTTCTGGCAGCAATTCCTAATACCAGATTAATTCAGGTATTGCTGAGGCCAGTGATAAAATTTGAGTAATGAGGATCTTGAGGAGTGAAATCGATGATTCACGTTTTATTTTCCTTGTTCTGTTACATCATGCTTTAGTAGGCTGGCTTCATTTGGCTTCCTAAAGCCTTATCCAGTCATTCCAAGCAGATGATGTTGCCAGTAAGCATCTTGCACAGTTGTGGCTGGAGTCACAATTTTCAGAAATGAAAATGAGCAGGTTGAGTGCCATTGCCAAGGCTGCTCTGTATGTGTCATTTCAGTCCCTTATGAATCCTGAAGAACAGAGTTGGATAACCTCTAACACACCATCCATGAAGGTCTTCCCTCCTGTGTTGCTATATGTAGTAAAAGAATATTATTGAAATGGTTTTATCTACACCAGAGGAACGACAGGGAAGTAGAGGGGAGTAGAAAACCAAAACTAGGTGCTAGAAACAGTTCTGATTATTTTCTCTTTTGGGGTGTGTTTTATTAAACCTTAGTACTAGCTTTTTCAAAAGGGGTGAGCAGTTGCAGATCTCTTCCTGAAGGTGAACTGAAGTTCTGGGTTTAGACTGTAAAGTGCCTGTTTACTTGTCTGATATGGTCCACAGAGTGACTCTGATCCAGCTGTGTATGCATGTGAGCTTCCAGCATGCTGTTTTCTTCAGTTACTGTCATTTGCCTTACATTGATGGTATGCAAGAGTAATGTGGCCTTGAAATTTATTTTTGAAGGGCTCGCTGAGTGACTGGGGATTTCTTCACAATTAAATCTATAATAAGGTCATAATTCATCTCTTCAGGGCACTGCATAAATACTAATTCCCAAAAGCTCCCTGTGGATAGTGCAAGCAAGTACTGTCCCCATTTTCCTGTTGGTAGAACTGAGAATGAGGCAGAAACACTCCTCAAAGGCTGCAGAAGAGATGAGTAGCTGAAGGTAGGATTAGAGTTTAGAAAGTCCCTGGTTCTCAGGACATCAGATTAACCGCATCTCTTCAACAGACAGAATGACTGTGCTTTATAGAAAGTGGATAGATGCGCTGTGAGGAATGGAGTTGCTCTCTTTGTAAGTTGTAGAGCGTAAAACCAGGCAATAAAATGTGTTACTTTGCACAGCAGGCAGGAACTGCTTTTAGAATAGCTCTGTCCGATGCTCCACCTTTCTGTGTGCAGTCAGGGCACTGATGAGGAGTTTGTCAGTCTCCATCATAATCTGGATATGCAGTAACCAAGAATTCTAAATGTAACAAAGGTCAGAAGACTCTTTCTGCTGTTTGTTTGACCTCGTGGTGCTTGGCCATCTGACAGCGTGTAGCATCTTCACAGGGCAGTACAGGTGCACTTTATCACGACGTCTGAAGGAGGGGAGTTACGTCTACGTGTTCCAAAATGCTCCTGCTGAAAATCAGAGAGTGCAGGCATTGTTTTCTACATGGCTTACTAAGTCAACATCAGATGTGTGCATCCTCCTCAGCAGTTCATAGCATCAAAGAGGCAGGTCCATGGGCTAAGTCTGCACTCTGACTGCAGAGGTGGCACATCTGCTATTGTGAGACGCTGGGAGGCTGAAATAAATGGTTTTATGAAGCTACTGTGTCGGAGACTCTGTGTCGTTGTGATGCGGACGGAACACAGCACAACCAATATCATTGATAGAAGTGATCCGTTTATTCTGCTTAAGCTGGGGTATATGTAGCCAGGTTGTTATTCATATATTCTTGGTAAACTTCTGTGGTTTACAATTTACAGGCCATCCCGCTTTCTAACATCCTTATTCCTCCCTTCAAGATACTTGTTAGTTTACCCCCCTGCACAGCTGGTGTTTTTTACCGAGCTGGGTTTCTCACTGACTTTCACAAAACTGGTCCCTGGCCGAGTTCAGCCATGGGAACGTAACCCTTGCCTGCCAGCCACGCTTCCACACTACTGTGCACAGAGTACCAAGTTCACATCTGTGCTCTGAATTTGGTTTTGCCTCTCAACGTGAAGAATAACTAACTTTGTTTTGGAGTAGGGTTTGTATGTCTCTGATAAGGTTTAGACAAGTTCTGTCACACACTGTCTCTGCTCTCAAAGGGTAACATGGGTGAAATAATTGTATTTATGCCTAAATATGTTTTCTTTCCCCTCAGCTTTTAGAAGATGATCCGTGGCCACGGCTGAATGCTTCTGAGCCCATCCCTCCCCTCATGCATAGCAACATGATTTCAGAAAAGTATTTAGAGCTGCCAAACGAGATTGCGAAAAGCAGTTTACCTCCATCAGGAACAACGCTGAAGGATTCAGGCCCACAGGAGGAGAAGTGCAGCAAAGCATTGGCTTTGAGGATACACGAATCCTACAGCAATGGTTTGTCAGTCAGCCTCTCCCCTTCCAACTCTGCCAATTCAGGCACGGACCAAAAAGGCTTCAAGGTGTCCCCTAATGGCCAGACAAAAGCCCAGGATGCCGAGCGGACACCCACGGCAAACTTTAAAAGGACATTGGAAGAATCCAACTCGGGCCCAGCGGTGAAGAAGCCGAGGCGCGTCCTGAGCCGGAGCCTGAGCGTGCCGCCGGAGGGCATGTCCACCACGGCGCAGCGCAGGAACTCCAAGCTGGCCATGCGCCGCAGCCTGCGTGGCCAGAAGAAGCTCAGCACCTCACTCTTCCACCCGCCCCGGAAAGCAGTGTGCGTGTGCTGAGGGGCTGCTCCGGGGGAAGTGGATTCTGGTCTGGTTAGAATGGGCAAGTTGGTGAAGAAGTTTGAAACTCTTCCTGTTTTATCGTTTTTTAAAGTAGGAAACATTTTTTGGTATTCAACAGCTTTATCCCAGCCTTGTACTTGCTTGTATTATAACTGTGAATTTTGTAGATGTGTAGGGTATAAGTTGCTGTAAAATGTGTGTAAATTTGTATTCCTTCATATAAATGTAGTCAGTTTTCTTCCTTGTATAATTGTTACAGGGGGGCTAAACCTTGTTTTAAAAGAATAATCCTTTTTGTTAATTTACTAAAGTAATGAATTTGTATACGCTTCTGGTGAGGAGAATTTCACAACTTTTTAACTAAAGTAAATTATTAAACAGAATGGCAGATAATGTATTTTCGTAGTACTTATACGTTCCACCTAAAGTGTGTTTTTTAGAGAATACACTAGGTCTATATTTTGGTTTTAAACTTTAGATTTCTCTACTCAGAAATGAAATGTATGTGGAAGCAGAGGTGTTGAGCCGGGCTTTACCCAGCTCAATGTCCAGTCCTTTATGTTAATTAAAATACTATGCAGTATCTTATTTAGTTGTATTTTTTGTAACATTAATCGTCGAAAGTATTTAGCAAAAAAAAAGTGTGTTTTTAAAACGCCAACTCCCGAGAGCATCCTATAAAGCCATTCCCATCCACTGTTACAAATGACGGCATTTTTAGCCAGGCATAAACGTGTGCCCTATGGAGGCTTGGGTTTTCTGCTAGTCCAATACTGATGGTGCTGCTAATACCTTTCCACGTAAGTTCTTAAATTATTTTATGAGTATTTTCATTGATCTGTGGACCATGTGTATGTTCACCTAAATAAAACATGTGAAAGTTTGATGGGGGTGCCTTTTGGTTTTAATTTCAAGCTGAAGTTCCTTGGAGCACATTCGTATTTATTTTCTATTTATTGAAAATTCAGTACTCTCTCCCCTTCTACACTGTGGCTTATGAAACATGACATCCCACGTAGTTTTATTACAGAGTTGATCATGGCACTTTATATGGAATGTTTAACTGTAGCAATGTATAACCTGCATTATTTTTACTAATGGGGAAGTAAAAGGCCAGTGTTTTATGCTGATGGGTGGTTATTTATAACATCTAATTCTTCACTGCTGGAACAATAAAACATGGGTTGAAATCAGGGCTGCTCTTTCTCTGTGTTACCATGGTTACAGGAATCCTAGGGGGAAGCATGAGCCTTGTGAAAATGTGGAATTCTCTTTCACCCATCCTGTGAATGCAGCACCATCGTGCAGGGTGAGAGGAACAGTCTGTGCAGGTAAGATCCTTCAAGGATTTTGTTCTTGGTCTATGGGATGTACCTCACAGCTCACAATGTAAGTTTTGCTATAAGTGATGTTGAAATGATACACCATAAATGTGGGGAGCACACAGGGGTAAGACAGCTGTATGTGCTTACCTTGCAGTGATCTTTGCAACGAACTCAGTATTGTTGGATTTCAGTTTAATGACATTCAGCCTTTTAAAGATGACTGGTCACAATAGAAGTGTGAGTATAATGCAGTGATTAGGTATCTGTATTGCTGCTTAGGATGTCCATAAAAGACTATAGCAAATTTCCCAGGATTATTGCTCTACGTAGAAGCAAAATGCAGGTTTCCATCAAGTTCTGCTGCACTTAAACGTGCCTAATCCTCCTGCATTTCTCGCAACAGTTCTAGCCTTGGGCTCCTCCAACCCTAACTATTACATGATTCTATAGTGAATGCTCCATCCCTGGTGGTGTTCAGGGCCAGGCTGGACAGAGCCTTGGGTGACATGGTTTAGTGTGAGGTGTCCCTGCCCATGGCAGGGAGTTGCAACTGCATGATCTTAAGGTCCTTTCCACCACAAACTATTCTATGATTCTATGTTGTTTTTTCCCCCCTTTTAATAAAGCAAAACCCTACAGCATTCCTGTGGTAAAACCAATCTGAATTACACCAGCTTTCTACTTCATCCTTGTTAAGTAAAGCTCCAACATGTGCAGTTCTCCATCACCAAGATGCTGGCAGTGCATGGCCTCCAAAAGTAATACATAAATAAAAATCACTATTGTTTGTTTGTTGGGGTTTGTTTTCCTCTGGGGCAACAACAGTGGGGACTTCCTGTTTCATGTTTTCTTCAGGCTCAAGGAGCAAATAGCACTTAACTGTGTTCTGAAAGCAGGCACATTGGGACGCAGTGTGCCATGCTGTGCTCTTCAGTTGTTCATTTTAGACATCGTTCATTAATGGCTTGACTTCACGAACAAAGATTTGGGAAGGGCTTTACCCACGCTTACTACAAGTGTGCTGATGATTAAAAAGGCCAATGTGAGATAGGCAAATCTGGATGCAAAAAGCACAGCGAAAGGTCTCCTTGAGTGTTATATGTGAGGTGCAATTCTTCCTATGTTGTCTTTTCTCCTTGAGATGAGTTCTGCGTGAGTTCTCAAAGGAGTCAGCGGCATTATGTATGGTGTGTCTCCAAGTCTCCCGATTGGAGGCCAAGGTGGACCACTGATGGTAGTCAACATGGCCAAGGCTAAGGTAATGCATCAGGGAGTCCTTATATCTCTTCTTTGGGGCACTTCTCTTGCAGCTACCGGTGGCAAGTTCACCGTAAAACACGATCTCAGGGAGGTGGTGATCCTTCATCCTGGAGACGTGCCCTGCCCAGCGCAGCTGCGGTTTCAGCAATGTGGCCTTAATACTGATGACCCCTGCCTGTTCGAGGACAGTGACATTTAACACATAGTCAGTCCAATGGATGTTTAGAATTGTATGGAGGCAGCGCTGATGAAAGCGTTCAAGGAGTCATAGAATCATAGAATAGGGTTGGAAAGGACCTTAAGATCACCAAGTTCCAACCCCCCTGCCATGGGCAGGGACACCTCCCACTAAACCATATCACCCAAGGCTCTGTCCAACCTGGCCTTGAACACTGCCAGGGATGGAGCATTCACAACCTCCCTGGGCAACCCATTCCAGTGCCTCACCACCCTAACAGGAAAGAATTTCCTCCTTATATCCAATCTAAACTTCCCCTGTTTAAGCTTTAACCCGTTACCCCTTGTCCTGTCACTACAGTCCCTAATGAGTCCGTCCCCAGCATCCCTATAGGCCCCCTTCAGATACTGGAAGGTTGCTCTGAGGTCTCCACGCAGCCTTCTCTTCTCCAGGCTGAACAGCCCCAACTTTCTTCATATGGGAGGTGCTCCAGTCCCTGATCATTCTCGTGGCCCTCCTCTGGACTTGTTCCAACAGTTCCATGTCCTTTTTATGTTGAGGACACCAGAACTGCACACAATACTCCAAGTGAGGTCTCACAAGAGGAGAGTAAAGGGGCAGGATCACCTCCTTCGACCTGCTGGTCACACTCCTTTTGATGCAGCCCAGGATACGGTTGGCCTTCTGGGCTGCAAGCGCACACTGAAGACTCATGTTCATTTTCTCATCGACCAGCACCCCCAAGTCCTTCTCTGCAGGGCTGCTCTGAATCTCTTCTCTGCCCAACCTGTAGCTGTGTCTGGGATTGCTCCGACCCAGGTGTAGGACCTTGCACTTGGCATGGTTAAACTTCATGAGGCTGGCATCAGCCCACCTCACAAGTGTGTCAAGGTCCCTCTGGATGGCATGAGTCACAGGTGATGATGGTAGATGACCTATCATTCAGGCCCATATAAAACAGTAGACAATACAATGGCTCTATAGACACTAATATTTGTACTTTTCTTCAGGTGTTTATTGCACCAGACTCTTATGGAGTTTTCCAAAGGGTCTATATGCCTTTGCTATTCTGTTGTCTATCTCTTTGTCGATCGTGTCATCTGTGGTTACAGGATGGTTTGGGTTGGAAAGGACCTTAAAGCTCCTCCAGCTCCAACCCCTGCCATGGGCAGGGACCCCTTCCACTGGAGCAGCTTGCTCCAAGCCCCTGTGTCCAACCTGGCCTTGAGCACTGCCAGGGATGGGGCAGCCACAGCTTCTCTGGGCACCCTGTGCCAGCGCTTCAGCACCCTCACAGGGAAGAGCTTCTGCCTAAGAGCTCATCTCGGTCTCCCCTCTGGCAGGTTAAACCCACTCCCTTTGGCCTGTCTCTACAGGCCCTGGTTCAAAGCCCCCGCCGAGGCCCCGCCCCCGCCGCTGCGTCAGCGCGCACGGCGGCGCGCAGGAGGTAAACACAGCGCGCTGGGCGGGGCCTTCCCCACCAAATCGGCGCGTGACTCCGCACCGGCCCGAGGCCCCGCCCCCGCCCACGTGCGCGGGGCCGGCGCGGCCGCTCTCGCGAGATCCAGATGTAAACAAAGCTGCAGGGCGGGCTCGGGGGGGGGGAAAGGGGGGGGTAGTGTCCGCCGCCTTTCGTCGTCTCAACCGAGCTTAGAGCGCAGCCGCCCGCCGTGTCCTCTGCGTCCCGCCCACCGCTGTGGGAGCGGAGCCGGGGATTGGCCGGCAGCCGGCAGCAGCCCGCCTTCGGGGCTCTCTGATTGGCTAGCCGCGCGCGGTGCTGTGGGTGTCATTCCCCGTGGGGACCCCAAACACTGTCAGTGAGGCGCCGGGCGGAGGGGAGCGGCGGCAGGTGAGGGCGCGCTGGGCGGGAGTGCGGCCCGCGCCCCTGAGCTGAGCCCGGGGCCGGGGATAGGAGCGCTGAGGTGGGGCCGCGCTCCGGGGGCGCTGTGTTGCCGGCTCTGAGGGCGAGCGCGGGGATGAGAGGCCGGGCAGTGGCCGGGGCGCTGAGGGGAGGAGGCGGGGGGGGCAGTGCGGGCCTTGAGGGAGCCCCCGGCAGCGGGCGCGGAGCGTCCGGCGGGTGTCGGCGCCGCCCCGAATGGCCGCGGCCTGATTCACGGGGCGGCGGTCGGGGTAGAGGCCGGTCCGGTTGGGGTGTTTTGCTCCTCGGAGTTGCTCAACAGCGGGCGGCTGAGGGTGCCTGGGGCCTCCCGGCCGCCGGTATCCTGAGGCCGGGGCTGTTGTGCAGGTGACAGCAGTCCCGGCTGAAGGGCGGGCCGAGGCACTGGCTGGGCTGTGGTACAGTGTGAAGGGATATTAGGCGCTGTTTTGTCTCTTGGGGCTGCTTGGCTTGTGTGTCAAGCTTCAGTTGTGTTGCTGAAGGTGTTACTCATTTCTGTGGGGCTAAGTGCCTTACTTAAAGAGGTGCCCAGAGGTGGACTGATGCTGATACCATATTTCTCTCACTTCATGTACTGGTTCTTGGTTTGGAGTAGGACAGGATAACAGGGTGGGTGGAGAGGTATCTGTGATGCTTCTGAACTGTTTTTTGCCTTTAAAGCTGTTAGGCTGAGTTTTCACATGGAGAACATAAGCGTGAGGCAGAACTTGAAGATGGTACAAAAAGCTGACATGACAAAGAAGCAGAATGTGTTCCATCATGCTTTTCATGTTAGCTTCAACGTAACCCATTGCACATTGTCAAGAGTACAGCAGACTGCAGTTATGATTGTGCATTATTTTTATATAACTGTTTTATAACACAACAGCTTATTAGTCTTAAATAATGGTGCTGATAACTGCTGATTATCAGCAAGTACCGGTGCTGCTGTTAATGTACAGTTTGAAGAAATCTTTCCACTTCATCACGCAGGTCTGTGTTGTTTCTGCTTTCACGTGCATTGAAGGAGTTGTAGTGATTGAGGTACTGCAAAAAGAAGTGATTTGCTTGGGGTTCATTTTGTTTTTTGTTTTAAAGCGCTGTAAAGCAGCTGTAAATTGGCCTCACCTCTTTCCTCAAGAGGTTTTTACCATCCCAAAGAGTATGTCAAGAACCAGTGTGATCAATAATCCTGCTACAAATCATTGTTAAAAAGCCACGTGTTTCTTACAGGTACCTGTGAAGAC